GCTATGGGATAGAGGGGATGCCGACTAGGGTTTTTGGAGGGGAAAGAGAGCTCAAATTCGGAATGAAAAGAAGCATCGCGAGAGGTGGTTGTCCCAGATCTTGACCTTATTCGTCGGATAGAGAGTCTCATAGCCGCCGCCAACGAAGCAGAGCACGTTGCATTGGAAGAGCATGGTGACGAGTTCAGTTCCGCAGCGCGAGGACGAGGAAAAGGGAGAAGATGAATCCATGTCGCAGAACTTGTTGTCGGTGTTGTAGATCTGAATTTCGTTGTCGAGACATGCGGTTAAGCATCCGCAGTCCTGGTTGAAGGAGAGTTGGTTGACGGAAGGGACCTCTGCGGTGGGGGGGGGGGGGCGTCTTCGACGGGTGCTTGGAAAGGGGAGGCGGCGGAGGAGAAAGAACCGTCGGGGTCAGGAACCCATTCTTCGATTTGCGAGGAAGATAAAGGGTTTGGTTAAATGGGTCGAGTTTGGTTATGGGTCTGGTTGGGTTAATTGGTTAGGTTGGTTGTATGACATGGCGGATTTAGTAACGTTGCGGGTCGGGTTGGTCATTTTTGGCCTAAAATGGCGCTGACTAGGCGCTCCCGTTAGTCACGTCAGCATTTAACGACCTATGTTAACGGATTTGGACGGAGACAACAGAAAGTGACTAAATGCGACCTGTTTTAGTAATTTGAGTGATAAAATTTTATATTAATTTTTTTTAGTGACTAAACAAGACACGATTAGTAATCCCATTGATCAAATATGGTATTAACCCTATGTTCATACCACCATGGTACGCTATTCATACCATTTGGTATGCTCTTATTTTAATACCAATCAATACTACCATGGTATAGGCTGGTAAAAAATGCTTTAATTTTTTTTTTGTTTAAAAAATATATCAAAATGGATATCATTTTGAAGAGCACAATTAATCTGATTTATTCGTGCAAAAAAATTAAATTTTGGCTTAAAAAGCGAGAGAAATCGTCTGTTAAAGATTGAAGGGGACAAGATTAAAGGCTTTTCGGGAGAGAGAGATAGAGAGAACTGTTGATGTGGCGGATTCTTGTTGGGTTACTCACCATTGTACATGGGCGCTGGGTCGTGCTTGGGCCGGCACGACACGGGCAGGCTTCGGGCCCATTTATTTTGTGTCGTGCTTGGCACGACCCGTCATTTTTTGTGCCGTGCCATGCAAGCCCATTTGTTAACTTTGCTAGGCCCGGGCATGGTTCGAATCGTGCCGTGCCTATTCGTGCTTGTGTCATGCTCGTATTCGTGTTTAATGAAAAATACGAAAACAAAAGAGATAATGAAAAAGAAGGTGAAAATAGGACGGAGGAAGATAGTATTAACCGATAATGTTTGAGAAAAGTAACAAATAAGGGGGGAAAGAAAACTGGAAGTATAGTGAGTGTGATTTGGCTTTGTTTAATTCTTTGTCCATTTTTACTTATGTTAGTAATTACATATATATATATCTGTATGACATTTCTAACAACAACAAATAATTATTTTTCTCCTTATGTCTGTAATATTTGAAACTATAATTCTTTTTATATTTATTTTCTATAAAATAAATATTATTTTTGTGCCATGTCCGTTCTTATACTCAAGAAAGTCTCGAAAATATTAGACCTGACACGACCCACTTATATACTGTATCGTGCCGGTGCCCATGAAGTTTAGGCCCGACACGGCCCATAAATTATTCGTGCTCGTGCCGGGCTGGCCCATTTATTTCGTGCCCGTGCTCGTGTCGTGTTCTAACCGTGTCGTGCCGTGCTAGCCCATGGGCGGCACGGCCCGGTGCCCATGGACACTCACCATAGAGTTACAGACGGGATCCGCTCTCCTGCTAGCTTACTAATATTTTTAAATTCAATTCTCTTATAAAAATAATAAAAGTTTGGTTAAGGATGTCGCATAGTCAAACGCTTTATACATTGCCCTGTCATCAAATCGTTCCACCTAAACAATAAGGTTTGCCACGTATGAGTCAACTTGACCGGATGAAAAGTTAACGGTTTAACTAATTTTTTAATTTTTGAAAGATTTGACTTTTATTTTGTTTAAGATCAAAAGATTTGGCTAATATATTGTATTTACCCAAATATAAATGAATAAATAATTATTTAATAAATATAATTAAAACTTATAATATCCAAATAATTCATTCATAGATAACAAAGAAATAGCTGACTAATATAATCATTGTGTCATAAACAATCATAATGCATTTTGGTATTCCGAAAGAAATGCAAAATACATTGGTTGTCTACACTCTTAAGTAAGTCTTTCTCAATGTATCCAATGACTCGCTCCTAATATCACAATTAATTATCTCCTAAGATCCAAGTATAAACCTTAGTAGGGTGCAATACATGGCAAGTATATTCAAAAATCGACTCGGGCCGGTACATGTACCCCAACTTCAATTGTTTGAAACATTATCTAGCAAATCAGTTTTGGTTGAAAAGTTTGCTAATTAAATTAAAACAAGGCAAAAGTAAATGGTTTTGAAAGCTCTTTGTGAGAAGGATCACTCGGGTGTCGCTTCCCCCTAATTACTACCATGGCATGTGAATCGAAGTGATTGCTATGGGCAAGGTGACCGCGAACCGCTAGGAAATGCAACAATGGTCATAGACCACACTCTCGATTGCCAAACCAAGGGATACATTATAGGCTACTCAAGTAGCCCTCTTAGTTAGGGCAATCGATGGTTGACTTACTGTGTCACTCAACCCAAGGGTTGGTCGGCTTAATCGCACTTAACCAAATTGCTTAATTAAACATAGAGGTTTGCCCTACATTAACCTAGATTGTTGACTTAAAAAGCCCAAGGAATCCCAACTCAATTGAGCCTCCCTTGAAAGGGGGTTTTCCCTCTAATCTAGGTTAGAATGGCCAATTGGATTGCTAAGCACAAACATGCACAATCAACATGAAAAATACCTCAATCATTGAATTAAACAACACCCATAAACATCATTCAAACCACACAACAACTACATGGTAAATAGTTAGGGTTTCACAACACCCAAGTGAAAAAGGAAACTACTCCATGCTAGAAAGGGAAAGAACACAAGAGGAAGAGGTAGAAACCATCATGGTGATGCCTTCTTTCTTCTTTTGTTCGTTCTTTCTCTCTCTAAAATCTGAAGAAGAAGACACTTTCTGACTCTTGGGCTCTCCCCCTCTCTCTTCTTTTCAGCTCTCCTTTTAAACAGGGATTGGGCTCAGTTCACGGCCGTGAACTCTTGAACGCGTCTGTGAACTCAAGGTTGGCGTCGAAACGCACCGCTTCGCTTGCTCATGTTCACGGGCAACAACTCCAGTTCACGGTCTTAGTGACCGTGAACTCGCCTGGCGTCAGTAACTTCTAGAATTTCCTTGGACGGCTTGATGTTCACGACCCATGCCTCCTCTTCACGGTCTTAGCAGACCGTGAACACACAAGGGAAACCGTGAACTGCCGGGTTTTCACCTCTTCTCCCGGTTTTCGCTCCTTTCCGTCCAACTTTTGACTCCGGGGCTGTATTCACCTGTAAGATCCTGAAATGTGCTAAAACACAAGAAACCTGGCATAAAACCACCCTTTTAGGAGCACAATTGCCACAAAAACCAATGGAAAACGGGGATAAAATGCGTACAATTAGGCCCGAATCACTCCCCCACACTTAGACGTTTGCTTGTCCCCAAGCAAACCATTTCACACAAGGTAATATTTCAACCTACAAAAATACTTTGGGGACAACTCAAAGGGCACAAAGTGGGAATTCTCAATGGCTATTGGCAATAAATATATGGACCGTTGCAAGCAATACCGACATCCAACACAAACGACATTCGAGGCCACCAAAAGTGGGCAAACGAAAAGTTCTCACCTTGTTCATGGATCAATGCAAGTCTCAACAAGAACACTTATCAAACTATCACCCATCGTGAACTACATTTAAGCGCTCTTCCTCGGTCTACTCTTGCTATCACATTATGGTTTAGTACTGAAGGAGTTCTAAAACAATGTGGGGGTTTCAATGGCTTGAGTGCCAAGAAACCCCTCCTAGAGCATACACTTTGGTTTTCCGTGGCACTCAACTTTATTTACCCCATTTTATTACCTCTTTTTTTATTCTTTTTATTCTTTTTGAGGGGGGTACTAGAGAGTAAAAACACTTGCCACCTATACATTTAAGGAACAATGCTCTCTTTTCAAGAACTCACTCCAACACTACACTTCCTTTTCCATTCCTAGCAAGAATCGCACACAAACCTCCTATGTAGAACCTCTATGGAAAGGATTGGGGGTCGTTCTATCATGTTTAGACACAAGGACGACTCATGTTTAGACACGAAGAAAGGATTGTGGGTCGTTCTATCAACACCATTAAGCTCGCAAGCATGAAGCTCCTAACTTAAGAACGACCCTCGAAGTCACAAGGCTCAAAGGGGTTGACTAGTGGATAACACATTTTGGGACAATCAGCATTTGGGCGTGGACTAATCCTATGCCTCCACCATACTCACTAGTGACAACTGTGATGTTACTCGCCATGGTAAGAGGGATCTAAGCACACAAGAAGAAAACGATCGGCTGAAAGCTCACATAGCTACCTAGTCACCCAACCATCTATTCCAATTCACAAAACACAAAGCATGGCAAATTGTAGTCAACAAGTAATCAAGTCAAGACATCCATTCATTTATGCACACATGAGAACTAAAGTTTTGCACTATCCTAATGGACCTCTCAGTCATCATCATATGATATACTCGATCACATGCAACAAATCAAGATCAATGCCAATAAACACGAAATTTTCCCACAAACCGGCCACTTTGAACATGCAAATAATGCTTGGACCCCTCAAAATTTTCAAAATTGGACATAAATAAAGGCTCCAAGCACAAATCACACTCACACAAGCATAATAGTAAACTATCCCCCCCCCCCACACTTAAGCTCGACATTGCCCTTAATGGCGTAAGATAGGGTAGAATGATGTTACCGCTTGCGCTTATTGAGTGAAAGTTGGAATCGATTCCGGGGTAGGATATTTGGAGCTTCAAGGAGAGACAAAAAGCACACACAGAAACACAATATGACTCGCTCGAGGCGAGATTATTACGAAACACAATACGATATTAGTAATAGCAGGACAAACTTGCTAACCTCCGTTGGGTTTCCTCCCAACAAGCGCTAAGTTATCGTCATTAGCTTGACGGTTGGGGATCAATCAAGTCTTGGAATGTGATGCCACCGAGAGTGGATCCACAACACTCTAGGGGCGAGGCTTGTAGCCTCCCATCTTAAGCTCTATGAGTTGGCCCTCTTGGTTCGCCAGCTTAGGTTTGGCCTTCTCCTTCCTTCGGGCCAAAGCTTGCTTCATCTTTTGCCTCCAAGCATTCTTCCTCTTTTCCTTGGGCATAGTACCCTCCTTGACTTCCTGCTCAACATCACCACAAGCAACACAAGTAATAGTGGGGTTCGCCTTGAGAGGCACTCCTTCACTCGCATTCACATCATTCGAAACCAATTCCTTCACTTCCTCACTTCTAGCCTTAGGGTCTATTTCAAGCTTGATTCTCTCCTCACCATCCCTCAGAATTAAGGTTCCCTCATTAACGTCTATCAATGCCTTGGCGGTGGCGAGGAATGGACGACCGAGTATGAGCGGCATATCCGAGTCCTCGCTTATGTCGAGAATCATGAAATTGGTCGGATATCAAAACTTGCCTACTCGCAACAACATGTCCTCTATAATGCCTCTCGGGCTAATGACCGAACGGTCGGCTAAAGTGATGCTAAGCTTAGTGGTCTTAAGTTCACCTACTTCTAACTTTTTGAAAAGCTTGTAGGGCATCACATTAACACTAGCTCCTAGGTCCGCCAAGGCATTGTCTATATTATGGTTACCAATACCAAGAGGGATAGTAAAGCTACCTGGGTCGGATCGCTTTTTGGGCAAGCGGTTGAGGAGGAAAGCCGAACATTCCTCGCCAAGAGTCACGTTGGCGAGGCCTTTAAGCTTTGGTTTCTTGGTGATGAATCCTTTGCGGTACTTTGCATATCTTGGCATTTGATCCATGGCTTCAAGGAAAGGGATATTGATGTGGAGGTTGCGGAGCATTTCCATAAAACCTCCACACTCGTTCTCCAACCTCTCCTTGTACATCCGCGTGGGGAAAATGAATAGGTGGCTTGTACTCAACCACCAGAGGTGGTGTCGGCGATGCCTTCCTTGTCGCTCTCCTCTCTCTCCCCGAGGGCCCTTTCTCTCTATCCTTCGGGTTGGGATATTCCTTCTCGATCACTTCTTAAGCGGCGACGCCCGAAGTCATCTTTCCGCTAGGAAATGCAAAAATGGTTGTAGACCACACTCTCGATTGCGAAACCAAGGGATACGTTATAGGCTACTCAAGTAGCCATCTTGGTTAAGGCAATCGATGGTTGACTTACTCTCTCACTCAACCCAAGAGTTGGTCGGCTTAATCGCGATTAACCAAATTGCTTAATTCAACATAGAGGTTTGCCCTACGTTAACCTAGATTGATGACTTAAAAAGCCCAAGGAATCCTAACTCAATCGAGCCTCCCTTGAAAGGGGGTTTTCCCTCTAATCTAGGTTAGAATGGCCAATTGGATTGCTAAGCACAAACATCCCAATCACATGAAAAATACCTCAATTATTGAATTAAACAACACCCATAAACAATCATTTAAACCACACAACAACTACATGGTAAATAGTTAGGGTTTCACAACACCCAAGTGAAAAAGGAAACTACTCCATGCTAGAAAGGGGAAGAACACAAGAGGAAGAGGTAGAAACCATCATGGTGATGCCTCCAATCTCCTTTGAGCTTGTGTTGATCTTCTCTTGGGGAGAATCTTCCCAATTCACCACTTGCAGTAACCCTAACCTTCTTTCTTCTTTTGTTCGTTCTTTCTCTCTCTAAAATTTGAAGAAGAAAACACTTTCTCACTCTAGGGCTCTCCCTCTCTCTCTTCCTTTCAGCTCTACTTTTAAATAGGGATTGGGCTCAGTTCACGGCCTCAGTTAACGATCGTGAACTCCTTAAACGCGTCCGTGAACTCAAGGTTGGCGTCGAAATGCACCGCTTCGCTTGCTCAGGTTCACGGGCAACAACTCCAGTTCACGGTCTTAGTGACCGAGAACTCGCCTGACGTCAGTAACTTCGGGAAGTGCCCTGGGCGCCTTGATGTTCATGACCCATGCCTCCTCTTCACGGTCTTTGCAGATCATGAACTCACAAGGGAAACCGTGAACTATCGGTTTTTCACCTCTTCTCCTTGTTTTCGCTCCTTTTCATCCAACTTTCAACTCCGGGGCTGGTTTCACCTGTTAGATCCTGAAACTTGCTAAAACACAAGAAACCTGGCGTAAAACCACCCTTTTAGAAGAACAATTGCCATAAACGCTTAAGGAAAATAGGGGTAAAATGCGTACAATTAGGCCCGAATCATCCAACTTAACAAACATTAGTACACTAGTCGCCAATTCGACTTCAAAGCTGTTTCTTAATATAACTCAAAGTTGAAAAATGATCTTTCTACACTTGCAGTTGCAATGGGTAGAGTCAAAACTAGTTTTAGAAGCAAATACACTGACGTATATGACTGATGTACTTTTGTTTTCACCATTACTTGAGATAATTCATCAACTGGACTTGGCAATGAGTGTACACCTTTAACACATTGATTGTTGCCAAATACTATGTGGAGCAGTGATGTCCACTCTTTACCATAATAATTAAATAACATATTTATATAATATAAGGAATCTCGACCGATGCGTGCATGTCATGCCAGCTTGTCGAGTTGACCACTAGCTTCATGTGGTAGCCATGGTGTGAAGGCATGTTGGTCTGGACTTGGGTGGTCGCATATAAGCAATGTGGATAAGTGGGTTTGACATCCTCTACCAGTAATCTAGAAGGCGTCTAGACTGATTTGTTGAAGCTGAGACCAACAAGGAAAAACAAGGGGTTAAGTGGCCATGAATGATGAGTTGTCGTGGGAGATACGGGGTCGTTTGCTTAGCGGATTTGAAAAATAAAGGTTTTGGTATAATTTGGGTTTTGAAAAACCATTGATATATGAGGAATTTGGGTGCATTATGGATTTGATAAACACCATTGTTTTTTTTTTATGGATTCCATGATGAATTTTGTTAATTAAATTTGTATGTATGAAGTGTAACTTACCTTTATTGCCCTCAATGATATATGAAGAGAAAGAAAATATGAGGGGTAGGTTTGGTAAAAGAAAATGATGGATTTCAAAGTCTATGATCAATTCACACCTAAAGAGGTGGGATTTTCAAGTCCGTGGGCCCCACGGATTTGGACGCTCAAAGTCCATGGGTCCCACGGATGTTACCTCTAAATACTTGAAGCAAACAAACAATGGATTTTGGACAAGTCCATCGTGGATTCAAATACATTACAAAATCCTTCACCAAATCCATCAAGCAAACAAGCCGTAGCCTAGGCATATAAGAAGAAAAAATTCGTGCCCTGGTGCGATTGAGTAGGCAAGCAAGGCAGCTCGGCTATTGATTACAGAGAAGGTGGCCCATGGGTTCTTTGACGAAATAGCACAACAAGAACTTGACAGTACAACTATTGAACTTTTTGTGGCTAAAATATAAACTTGTGTGGTTAAATTATATAGCTACGAAAAAATTATTTTATAGCTCACGTAGTTAGAAGTGGCGCAGCTAAAAGTTAGCCACAAATTTTTTCAGTTGTGTGGCTAACAAACAATAAATTTAGCTATAAAAGTATCATAATATAGATGCCTTGGTACAAAGAGTATTTGATGTAGCTGCATCCTTCGTATATTTTGCCATAAGGAATATAATTTGTGGCTTTATCAAACAATTTGTTACTCAGTAACAATTTGAGAGTAAATTATGATAATTTTTCCTCACAATTAGCTATAAATGTTATCACATATTATTTTAAAACTAGAGGAAATTAGTTTATTACGACCAAAAGAGTTGTGGCTACAAATTTATTAATAGCTACAAAATACCTCATATGGTTAGAATTCATGTTTTTGTTACTGTGTAGTCATCATCAAAAAGAAATTGAGATTTAGCTTTATGTACACAAGTTGTGGTAATATAATATATTTTATGCTCGTAGTGATTCCAAGCTATGGTTGCATATGCTTCAAAATTGGACTATTAGAGGAACATATGATTCAAAATTAATTGTTCTTAAATAAGCTTGTTTGGTGTCGGAAGAAGAATGGATTTTTTTTTTTGGTTAGACTCAAAGAATTAGCTAAGCATTTTATTCAAACAAATATGGAACTAGAATGGATGGTTTTATGCCTATTACCAGTTTTCCTCTGGAGTTGAGACCCATCATTCAGATAGATGGGGGCAACGACTAATATTGCGTTTGCGGGAAAAAGAGTAATTGAACAAACATTGAATAAGACTGTTCCTAAAGGTTCACAATCGATCGAATTTTTATTTCATATGACCTTATTCAATCCAATTGTACCATGTAATATGTTAAAACTTAAAACGTGTTCTGATTGAGTTATTTCAGCCCTACACTAGAAATTTCTATTTGACTGAATTGATCATAGATCAATACTGCTTTTTATTGTGGAGTATTGAATACACCTATAATTATAAGCTTCATGTTACTCTTCCCAAAGACATGCAGGGTCTAGGCATCCCAATTCAATTAAACGAGATGACAGTTTTTCATTCTGTGAAATCAAAATTACCCTATACTTTATGATTCATAATAATAAGCATCATGCTCGGAATTAGCTTTATTATTATCTAAATATTTTTATATGGATGAGCAATGGCCTACCACATTAGATGCTCACTTGAGAGTTACATGTAACTCCTATTCCTATATAATTATCTCTAATTCATATGCATTGATGTAAGGATGTAGTGGTTACCAAAGGGTGTCTATAAATAGAGCACACTATTGTATCACAAATGAAGTATGAATAAAAAGAACTATTCCCCCACTTCTCTTGTGTCTTTCCTCTCTCTAATCTTCTCTGTAGATTTTATATTTTTCATTAGTTTCATAATACGTTATCAGCACGAGACTCTTCCTTTTGAAAAGGTTAAATCCATAATTGTTCTGCTCAAGGTATGTCGATTCTCCCAAATTGTTTCTTTTATTGTCCTATTTTAATTTACATATCATTTCCTTTATTAATCAACACATGAAATCTTTGTTTGAGAGTGCAAAGGTATAATTTCCTTCTTAATAATTTTTTTAGCAAGTCATGATTATATATACTTCGTAGTAGTAGTATAAAAATCTCAATATATTTTGCCTTTATAATTTGTTTATTTTGAAATTCGAATTTATTTATATATTTGTAAAAATATCAAATTGTTATATCATGGGTCACATAAGTCGTTTGTCTTGATAGTAATATATATTTATTTATTTATTGAATTTTGACTTTAATTTGTGTATATTTTTATGATAGTATGTCGAATCTTTCAAAGCTTGAGTTTGTGGCTCTTGATGTCACTGGAAAGAATTGCCTATCACGGGTGCTAGATGCTGAAATTCATTTAGCTGCCAACGGTCTTGGAGACACGATTAAAGAGGGCAATGAAGCATCAGATCAAGACAAAGCTAAAGCAATGATCTTTCTTCGACATCACCTCCACGAGGGATTGAAGAATGAGTATCTTACGGTAAAAGATCCACTTATTTTGTGGACTAATTTGAAGGAGCAGTATGCCCACAAAAAAACTGTGATTCTTCCTAAGGCTCGTTATGATTGGATGCATTTGAGGTTACAAGATTTTAAATCTGTGAGTGATTATAATTCGGAGCTATTCAAAATAAC